TGTGTGTGTGTGTGTGTGTGAGAGAGAGAGAGAGAGAGAGAGAGAGAGAGAGAGAGAGAGAGAGAGAGAGAGCTGATAATTGTTTTGCCATGTGAATGCGTGCAGAAAGCTGAAAGCTGGAAGAAAGTACGAGAAATGATGGAGAAGGGTACCATCTGTGAAGTGAAGGTGGTTGAAAGCAATTCTGGAGGCCTCGTTGTGCACGTGGCAGGGTTAAGAGGGTTTCTACCTTTCTCTCAAGTTGATCGTGCGAGAATGACCACGGGTAATGTCAGGTTACCTACCGTAGGTCAAGCCCCTATCTTTTGTAAGAGGCATTTCCCCAGTCTCCTCGCTCCTGTCAGTGTTTTGGGGATCTTCTGACATCTTCTGGCCTGATGATGAGTGTAATGTCTTTTTTGGGCATCTCTTTTTCTCTAGGCAGTTGGCTATTAGGCTATGTTACCATTTGGCTACTTGGCTACGTGCCTATGTCGTTATGAGGCTATTTGGCTACGCGGCTATTTGGCTATTTGGCTATTTGGCTATTTGGCTATTTGGCTATCTGCCTGCCAAGTTATGTAGTGCAGGACAAGCCTCGCAGCCCGCTGGGTAGTGCACAGAGCTCCGCCTCAAGGCTGCCATGACTGTGCGCTTAGTCAGTAGCCGGCTATCTGGCTAGTTTGGCTACGTGGCTGTTTTTGGGCTATGTGGCGATTTGGCTGTGTTGCTCTTTGACCATGTGAATATTTGGCTATTTGGCTATTTGGCATTCGGCTATTCGACTGCCAGGTTACCCAGCCTGAAGAAGAAGGCTCTCGGCTCTCAGCCCACTGCGTACTGTACAGAGCTCCCCCTCCAGGCTGCCATGACTCTGTACTTAGCTAGTGGCTGGCTAGCTGGCTATCTGGCTAAGTTGGCTATGTGGCCCTTTGGCCATGTGGATATTTGGCTATTTGGCTATCCGGTATTCGACTGCCAGGTTATCCAGCCTGCAGGAAAAGGCTCTCAGCCCGCTGCGTACTGCACAAACCTCCCCCTTAAGGCTGCCATACTCTCAGGGGACGGGTATAACTTTGCATCTAGTCAGTAGCTGGCTATCTGGCTACCTGACTACGTGACTAATTTGGCCATGTGGCTGTTTGGCTATTTGGCTATCTGGATATTTGGCTATAAGGCTGTTTAAGCCATGCGGTGGTCTGATTTCGGGGCTCTATTCGGCTAATAAGGTTGAGATCCTCTGCGTAACTGCCACGTGGCCGTCAGTGTCCCGGCCCAGCTGTGCAATAAGCCCCGATCCCTATTGTCAGGGGTATGTTGGGTATGGGCGTCGCGCGCTCCATTGTACAACATGTTAAACGGCTAAGAAGCCAACCTTTTCAATGTACCTGGACAGTCATCAGATCCAGATACGTTTAGAATCACGTGTAGTGGAGTGAGTGAGGCCCTATGTCTGTGTTTTTTCTTCTTCTTTTTCTTTGCCGGAGATTTCCCTGTAACTCTGCGGGTTGCTGTCGCCCCTGCCCGCGGCCTCTCAATGTCATTTTCAACTGTTTAGATGTTTTTTTTTTTTTTTGGTGGTCGAATGGACCACGGATCAGGTATTACACTGATCAGAACAGATACTACACTTGATCTTACTTAGCCAAAAGGCCGAGAAAGGTATTTTTGGAAGAAAATATTTAGAACTGAGGAAGTGATTTCGCTCTGCTGTGGGTGTGTATCTTATTACTCCATGTGATGCCCATCTCTGTGTGTTGTGTGTTCGCTGTGCACAATGCCACAAAAAAAAAGCATTGCTTCGCCTCAGACTGTTTCATTGGACTTTGTGTGTGGGTGTGTGTGTGTGTGTGTGTGTGTCTGTGTGTGCGTGTGTGTGTGTGTGTGTGTGTGTGTGTGTGTGTGTGTGTGCGTGTGTGTGTGT